GGTAGAAGTGACATCACTCCTCTCCTTCAACCCTAAGTTTAACCAAAGCGAAGAAGGTCCTTATCTAGAAGTCTTAAGATCTGGCTCTTGCCATCCACTTGCTGGATGACTTGGCCAAGTCCTTTTCCCTCTTTGGATCCCAATTCTCCCATCTGAACAAGGCCCTTTTAGTTCACAGGTTCTGTGACCTATTTGAGTTCTTTTGAAATTAATTTCAGGGATTCCTCTACAGAAGAAATTGGAGGAATCCTTTATTTCTGAACTACTTTTTTCTTCGACAGTACAAGTTGGTAGTTTATTAGCTGAAGTTTTTGCCATAAGTGACGGCTTAATGTATTCCCTAGAAAAGAGCCTTGTGCCCTTAGCATTAAGGAAGGAAATGGATCTCAGTACCAGAGGGACTCATCTTTGCGTCTTCCCTCAAACATCCACGTGAACGTGTCAACTCCCACCTTGAAGGTATCATTTCTCAAATACTAATGCGGGGAATAGTGATTCTTGGCCACCTACCCACATCAGAATGTTGTCACTACGCATTACTTAAAAGGCACTCCAGCATAGCACTTCTCCTGAGATAACTAAAGTGGAAAATGGCAGTAATCACAGGTGCATGTACCTCTGTGGACTGCATTAGCCATGGTCCCTTGGAGGCAGTGGGGGCTGCTTAGCTGATAGAGAAATTGTAGGCGTGGGGGCTCAGGTTCTGTGAGGAGCAATTATAGCCCAGAATACAGAGCAATTGTGGGAGGAAGTTGACAGCTGTAATTGAAGAGCATTATATGATGTCAGTGGAGTGAAAAGGAGAGAAAAAAGTGAAATCCACAGAAGGATAGCAATGAAAGCCTTGTGTTCGATCATTTTGGTGTCCTGTATCTCCATCTCAAAAGAAGGACTCCATAGAAAACAGATTAGGATTGAACCCTGATCTTGCCCTTTACTAATGGTACCATCTTGGGCAAATCGCCTACTCTCTTAGGCTTAGTTCCTTCCTCTGTGGAAACTAAGCTGGTAATGTTTTGCAAAATTGTCCCAAGGAGTAAATGAATTACATAAGTAAAAGAAGGTGGAGACAACACTCCAAGACAGCAAAAGTATTTTCTGAGTTCTCATTGTGTAACAGGCAGTGTACTAGCCACAGAGGAGATAGAAATGAGACAATTCCTGATCTTCAGGAGAAGAGAGGCTACGGGATGACACAGACATATACACAACTACTCGAGGTCAGAAGGCAAACCATTGATTTACCCTAAGAAAATCCAACTCATTTCAAAATATTTCCTTCAGGCAGTTTAAAGATCTGTCTGATCCCCTTTTATTATTGAAAAAGATCATTTCCATAATAAGTAAAAGTGGATTTATGTGCATATTTCATTCTTATCAAAATTATCATAAGTGCATTGATTCTTTAATAACAACTATCATAACCACAAACCACTGTATTTGCAATGCCTTCCCAAATTCTAAGGATCTGGAAAAATCCCCTTTTAAAATTCAGTAGTTAAACTGAATTGTCAAGTAAAGCCAGTATTCTAAATTGTATCATATATAAGCACTAGTCATCTAAAATGAAATTTGGCCCCAAGAAAAATGAAATTTGGCCCCAAGAAAATCTAAGACCTGATTTAAGCATCTAAGGAACATGTCATTGGGGCCCTACCTGGCTGGGCCTGGGCCATTTACAGAACTTGAGACTTAGGACACAAGGTAAGCTCTTCCAAATAAGTGTGGCCCTTGAATTCCCAGCCAGAGAAAAATTCTTTCCAAGACCCTGGTGCAGCCCATGCTGGTGTCAGCTCACTCTTTGACCTCCTGGTTCTCCCAAGAATTGTCATGAAGATCAGCTTCTTCATGCCCTACTTTCCTCATCCTTACCTTTTCATTGTGCTATTCTCTTCTGCCTTAAGTTGCACCCATTGCCACAGCCATTCCAAGCCAAACCCTACTAGTTTAGTAGGCTCATGTCTTTGTGAAAGTAGTGGAGTATGAGGCTAAGATAGATATCAAAGGTTGCCCTAGATGTAAAGAAAAAAGATACTAGCCATAGGGCCTCAGAAAAGGAGGCTGCTTGGAGGAGGTGGAATTTGAGCAGAGCTTTGAAGAAACATTTTGATTTCAGAAGATGTAAGTGGCAAGGACTGGACAAGGTTCTCAAGTAATTTCCCTGGACCCACTGCTATAGGTGCAGTGAGGCCCTCTTCCTTGGTCCTTTCCAAATGGGAGAAGTTCTACTCCTGTTTTACTCTCCAGGGAATTCTGTGCTTTCCACCACCTAGGGAAAGGGCTTTGGCTCTTTCTTTGCTTTTAGAGGAAAGCAGAATGCAGAATAGGTATCCACCATTGGGATGAGGGGGACCAGTGTCTGACCTACTGCTTCAAAGCCCATATCTTTCCCTACTCCAAATCGTTTCAGTGTCTAAAATCGTTTCAGTGTCTCTCTAGAAAGAGATTTCTTTGCATTTAAAAGCCTTTCTGGGGCTTCCCTAGTGGTGCAGTGGTTAAGAATCCACCTGCCAATGCAGGAGACACGGGTTCGAGCCCTGCTCCGGGGAGATCCCACATGCTGCGGGGCAACTAAGCCCTTGCACCACAACTACTGAGCATGCGCTCTAGACCCCGTGAGCCACAACTACTGAAGCCCACGGGCTTAGAGCCCGGGCTCCACAACAAGAGAAACCACCGCAATGAGAAGCCCGCGCACCACAACGAACACCCAAAGCAGACAAAAAATTAAAAAAAAACAAAAAGAAAAAGCCTTTCTGTATTCTATAGAACACTGATGTTCAAAAGTATTTAGGGAATAAATATTAATACATGGCTGAATACCTTATAGAAGAGTGTACCTTAAACCTTGACAGGTACTACTTCATTGATATTAATTTCACAAATAACTGAAAATAAGGTCATGTGGAAACTTTGAAAACTAAGGGTAATAAATTTTTCCCAGTAGCTTACAGTTTCAAAAAAACTTCCACATCCCTTATTTTATTTGATTGACATGACAACCCTGTATATATTAGCTTTTGCTACCTAAGAAACCACCCAGAATCTTAGTGGCTTAAAGACACAATCACTTATTTTCACAGTCCAGGGCTCAGTTGGGTGGCTCTGCTCATCTAAGCTGGGCTTGCGCATTGGTCTAGGGGTTGACTGTGGGTCAGGGGATGTAGAATGACTCAGCTGGGACAAGTAGGCTCTGCTCCACCTTGTGGAACCTGTAAGCTAGCTTGGGCATGATATGCTCATGGTGATGGTGGAAGCTCATGAAAGCAAGTAGAAACACACAAGGCCTCTTGAGAGCTAAGCTCAGAACTGTCATACTGTCACTTTTCTTTTTCATTTTTTTGACCAAAGTAAGTTATATGGCTGAACTCAGAGTCATGGGATGGGGAAATATCCTCTTCCCCTTTTGAGAGAAAAACTACAAATCACATGGCAAAGGGCATAGATTTAGGAATGGATAAAAAATTAGGGACCCTAGTACAATCTTTTCCAAACCCTACAAAATAAAAGGGCAAGAATTACTATCTTTATGCTCATTCTGTGTGCAGAGAACATGTCTCAGAAGTGAAGTGATTTTTCCATGGGGTAGAACTAGGTCTTTTGACACCAAATGCTTTTCACTTATACTGTACTACAGACATAGTTGCCTAGAGTTAGATGGAGGGGACTCTAGAAGACTGGCCCTTGAAAGACTGAATATGCAAATGGTCAGTGGGTTGACCACATATAAAAATAGAACTCTGACCCACAACCTTGTCAGCAACCAGCCTGGGAAGCCAGACCACACACTCTGCAGCAATTGGATGCAAAGCCGTCAGGACCTGGTCAATAACTGCCAGCTTCCCTAATTTCCCCCCGTTGTCATTTTGGGTCCTGTGAGTCTTAAGCAATCAAACGTTGACTAAATGCCACCATTAGTGCAATCCAGAAGTGGAACCAGTCCATATGGATTGGCTCATCAACTGGTGGATATATTTTTAAAAATGTGATATATCATACAATGGCATACTCTGTGGCAATTGAAAGTAACAAACTACTGATGCATGCTAAGTAAAAGAAGCCAGACACAGCATGCCACATACCACATGCTTCCATTTATATGACATTGTTAGAAAAGGCAAACTTGTAGAGACAGAAGCAGATCAGTGGTTGCTGGGGGCTAGCTGTTGGAATGGGGACTGACCACAATCTGGCATGAGAGACCTTTTTAGGAAGTGTTCATTTGGAACATTTAGAACATTTGGAAATGTTCTAAAATGGGTTGTGGTGATGGTTGCACAACTGTGTAAATTTACTAGAAATCATTTAACTGTGCACTTATAATGGGTGAATTTTATGGTATGTGTTTTATACCTCAATAAAGCTGTTTTAAAAGAAAACATAATGCCTTGGAAGAGAATAAAAACATATCATGGATGAAAAAGAAATGCTGTCAGGCGAATTCCCAGGGAACAAATGTTTGGCACAGCATTAGTTGCTCTGCTTTGTGGAAGCTGGGTACTAAAAAATTCCCTCTTGAATATAACTCCACTAGGGCTGGAAGTATGCCTTTCTCAGGAGCCTCCTGCTTGACCCCATCGTCTCTTAGCTTTGGCAGCTTTCCACACACAGAATGTCAACGCTAGTAGGCATGTCAGGTACCTGGCCTTTGGAGTCCACTAGACTCAGGTTTGAACTCTGGCTCTGCCATTTATCAGACGTGTAACATGGGTATGTAATTTGGTTTCTTCAAACTTTGGTTCTCTACACATAGATTGGGACTAATAATTCTCATTTCATTGGGCAGTGTTGAGGAGTATATGCGACTATTCCAATTATCTATTGCTACATAACAAACTACCCCAAACTTGATGGATAAAAACAACCATTTTATTACATCTGATTCTGTGAGTCAGAAATTCTAGAAGGGCTTGATTGGGTGGTCTGTGTCTTAATCTACATGGTATCAGCAGAGCAACTGGGGCTGGAGGCTCTACTGCCAAGATGGCTCTTTCACTCACATGTCTGGTACCTCCATGATCCTTGTTTTCTCTCTCCACATGGCATGTCATCTGTGAGGGCCTCTCTGTGAGATTTGAGCTTCTCACAACATAGTGGTCTCAGGTAGCTGCACTTCTTACATGGTGGCTGGCTTCCATAGGCAGGAAGCAGAAGCTGCCAGGCAACTTGGGGCCCTACCTGCAATGGCACAGCATCAATTCCACTCTGTATTATTGGTCAAAGCAGCCACTTGGCCCACCCACCCAGATACAAGTAGACCTCACCCCTTGGTGGAGGTGGGATAAGAAGATCACATTTTTTTACCAGAGCATGTGGGTTGGGCAATACCCATATATTTGTGGGCATATTTGGAAAATACAGTGTACCACAGAGCCAGTGACTACACAGTGCAGAAGTCGGCAAACTTTCACTCTAAGGGCCAGATAGTAATTATTTCAGACTTTACAAGCCATGTGGTGTCTGTCGTGATTACTCAACCCTGCTGTGCAACCATGCTGCACAAAGGTAATCATAGACAGCACCTAAATGAATAGTTATAGCTGTTTTCCAATAAAACTTTATTTATAAACCAGAGGGCAGGCCAGAGTGGTCCATGGGCCATCATTTGTGACCTCTGATGTAATGCATGATATGCAGTAAGTGCTCAGTTATAGTAGAGCCTATTATTGTCATTGTTATTAAGAGGCTTTGGAAATCACCCAATTTGTTCCTCACCTCTCCTATTGATAAGTATAACCTGACTTAGCCAACATTCTCAGTTTGGTGCCGCCGGCCACCTAGATGATCCCTCTTTTCACTTTACTCCATAACTTGCACCTACACTTCAGTAAGTACCATCCTTCAGCCTCTCCCTATCTCACTGCTAGAGGACCACAGGTTTGGTAGGGAGGGCCTGAAGCCCGTAAAATATGGTCAGGCCCTCTTTAAGAAAAAGGATACAAAATTAGGAGCAAAAGTGAATATTTGGATGAAAAAAAGAAATCACAACAAATAACAGATTGTAAAATGCTGACAGATACCACAAAAATCCAGAAAAATGACATAGCCTCATGTCTCTACAATACTTTTCCCTAAAACATTTTTTTTGGCCTAGTGGGGTCTTCGTTACTATGTGTGGGCTTTCTCTAGTTGCTGCAAGTGGGGATACACTTCGTTGCGGTGGCAGGCTTCTCGTTGCGGTGGCGGTGGCTTCTCTTGTTGTGGAGCATGGTTTCTAGGTGCACGGGCTTCAGTAGTTGTGGCTCTTGGGCTCTAGAGCACAGGCTCAGTAGTTGTGGCACACGGGCTTAGTTGCCCTGCCGCATGTGGGATCTTCCCGGACCAGGGCTCGAAGCCATGTTCCCTGCATTGGCAGGTGGATTCTTGACCACTGTGCCACGAAAGAAGTCCCTCTCTTCTTCTTAATGAATTACTTCCTTTGGTAATTTTTGTTTTTGTTACAATTTTCCTTTCAATATGAGAAAATTTCTGGCGATTTCCTTGCTTGTCTTGATCACTGTTATTCTGTGTTCCCTTAATTTTTTAAAAGTCCTTGAATTTTTATTATGAAAACATTCAAACAATCAAAAATTTGAAAAGATGTTGCAATAAATATCCACCAATTTTTATCTGAATTTTCCTTCAGTTCTTCAATAAATAATTTTCAAAGGAAAATAAAGTACCCTTCATGTATGTCCAAATCAGTAGTCAGTAAATTCTCACTTGATTTACTGAAATGTTCCAATATGTTTTTCAAATTGCAATTAATATGGTGTATTTAAATGTTACCAACTCTTCATAAAATTATGTATTTTATCCATGTTCAAGATGTGAAATACATCAGTGTGGTCCATTCAGTCCAGGCTAAATGTATCTCCAATTCAATTTCCTCATAGCTGGACCTCCAGAAAGCCTACAGCCTATCTGATGCCATCTGACACTAGTAAATTTGAGATGAACACAGATTTAGAGTGGAAAAAGATTGTGATCTTAACTCAATGTAATTAAGTTACCTTAATTTGGAAAATTAACAAGAACAAATGAATACATTGCTAACTTCTATCCCCATGCCCATTTTTTTTTTTTCTTTTTTAAGAGAGAGCAGGAAAGACAAACAATGTAATACAGCAAAAATTGTGGGCTGGGGATCAGCAGTCTCTTCTACTAACTGGACTATGAGACTCTGTACATCTCTTCTCCTCTCTGAGCCTGGCTCTGTCTCCAACTCAGTAAGAATTTACCTTAGCCCAGTTATGAGTGTAAAAATATAAGGACTGAAGAGGAATACAAATACCCAGGCCAAAATTATGAGAAATATTTGACTGAAGTGGTTCCCTTGGGTTTTCATTCTTTGGGATTGTTTTTCTCCAAACTTCATCTTTCTTCAAAGCAAAGGACCAGAAGATCTTTACAAAGTCTCCATTTTCTGGATCATAAATAAACTCAAAACATACCCTTTAGCTAGAAATATACTATCTCAGAAGTTAAAAAAAAAAAAAATTCACATAATTTCCTACACAATGTCTCCAGAGAATCTTTTGCAGAAAGACAATTGATTTCCACCAACACACTCATTAATTTTTATGACACCCTCCCTAAGTTTTGCAAACAAATGAAGTTATTAATATTTGAAGACAGTAGGCAGTATTTTCTGGGCCATTTCATTAAAAAGGCTCCACTATCAACCAAAGACAAGGAAGGGGGGTCTAGACCCAAAATCTAGCATTAGAGCTAGGCTGATAAAAAGCCAGGGCTCTGCCACTGTGAAGGGTAATTGAGGTTTGGAAACATTGGAGGCATCAAACTGGTTTTCAAAATTCATGTTTCTCAATCCCATGTGAACAGAAAGGAATACACACAGGAGTAGGCAAAGGAGATGGAATTCCAGGCCTGAATCTGAAGTATGACCTGGGTGGGGTGAGATTGGTTTCTACATTTCTAAAATAGAAACAACAATCTCTCCTTCCAGAAAACAATTGTAAGAAGGAGCAAGCTATAAAAAAATTTTTTTTAAACTATAGAGCTGTATTGAAATATGAGTAATTATTGCTTTTAAAATGGCCATTTCTTTAGACACCTTTTTTAGTTACTATCAAATTGCCCAGCTTTTTAGTGAAAAAGAAGCCTAAGTAATAAACAAGCAGTTGTCTTTAAGGAAATGATGGACTGAGTTGCTCAGCTTTCCCCATACACTCAATGGTGATTGTTTAAAGATCACTTTAATAGTAGAACCTTAGGCGGGTTCCTTCTACCTTCTGCCTCAGTTTCCCCCGCTGAAAAAGGAAAATGTGCCTCTGTGAACTTTAAGCTTCATTTCAGCTCAGATATTCCACAATTCCAAGTTAAACAAGGTCAAAGTGATTTCTTCACCTCTTTCACCATTTCTGGGAACTTCTCTGAGAGCTAGGGCTATGGTCTTTCTCAGTACAGCCTGAGAATGGAAGAGGGGGTCCCCCTCTGAACTCAGCTGTGGGGCAGCCCTGTATGACCAAGCACCCAGGGAGGGATAACACTCAGGGGCCGTGCTGACAAAGGGTTTCATTATGAACACTGAGATGGCCTCACTAATAAACTTCAGCGCACTGTTCTGCAGACACGTTCACTTTCTTGTGATTTCTGGGAATAACTCTGGGCCCAGCTCTGTGGGAGAAGAAACAAAGAAGCATACTAGTTCATTCGGCCTTAAGGGACACGGCTCTCACCCAGGATACTTAGAGGTTCTGCATGACAGACATTCTGTAGAGAAGAGAGATCCCAAGGAAGTCTCAGCTGGGGGCAGTAAACAAGGCCCAGTGCAAATGGAAAGACTCCCCATGGGAGGTAAGCTTTGAGCTAGGGCTTGAAGGGTGGGTGGTATTTAGACTTAGACAAGAAAGAGAATTCCAGGAGTCACAATAAGGCAATAACCAGCAGATCAGTTGTGCAGCACACAACCCCAGAAACAATGCCCCAGATTCTCAGGAATCTCTTTAAGTTTTGCCCCAGACTCTTGATTCCCAGCATCCTCCTTTGTGCTGGTATCTTTGTTCCTCTCCCATTGCTTCATAGCATATTCTGCTACCTTACCCAGCTCTTTCAGATAACGTTTCCATTGGATTGTCTGCCTAACTCATGATTCAGTCTTCATCCCTGGATTTTGTGTGGCTTAAACAAATGGGAAATTTATTGGCTCCTATAAGAAAGTCCAACAGTAAGGCAAACCCTAGAGTGCATATAAGCCTGTGGCCCTGGCTCTCCCTTCCTCTGAGTTTTCATCCTCAACCTACTAGTGAGGCAGCTGTGGACATGCCAAACTTCAAACATGGGCATGGTTTGTCCAGAAAATATACGAGGGTCACTTTTTGGAAATTTTATTTAAAAAGTGAGGAAGGATTTCCCAGAAGCCCTCTGCAAACTTCTCCTTGCATCTTATTGACCAACTTTGTGTCGACGTTCTTTTATGAATCAATCACTGTCCAGGGTATGTGCTTTCCCTTGGATAAATCAGGCCTTGGGGTTGGGGGTGAAGCAAGTGAGCTTTGCAAGAGAAAGGTAAATATCCGAAAAAAAAGTGATGCTCTTTAAGATAGAAAGGAGCTCCGAAGACCTGTACAAAATCAAAGACTTCTAAAGACAGAAGGGAGCAGGACATGGAAGTTAAACTAGCAAAGAACGAATTGTCTGTGGCGAGGTCACCTTCCTTTAGGAGCCAGCAGGGGTCTATCAGGCAGATTTCTTCACTGGTACTGACCAGTGAAGGTGATTCCAGATTGACTAGTTTAAGATTCCATTCCTGGGAAAGGCTGAAACGTCCCTTTTTTTTTTTTTTTTTTAACACTAACCGTAAGAAATTCATTCTTAAAATGTTTTTTCTTTTTATCTAGAGGATAAAAAGAATACAAAAGCAAGCCTCAAAATCAGGGCCTGGGGGTAGATGATTCATCCCCATCATGTTATCTTTTGAATGGTTAATAGCTACCCCTTATCTACCTGAATTCCATTTCAGACAAACAAAGTAATTTTGAAAAAGGCAATCTTAAAGAGACACTGGCAAGTCTGATGAACTCTGGTAATGAAATTATTCCAATCTCTGCCACCCACAAAGATCTGGAAGGAACAAAAGGATGGATGTTTGTGTAGATGACTTGTCATTGTTGGTGAGCAGCTCAGTGTTACTTGTCTCAGGCTCCCAAATCTTTTGGCAAATAGTAACTCACTTATACTCAGAGCCCTCCCAAAAGGAAGGACATTAGCATTCACTCTAATGAAGAGCCAAGAAATTAGAGTTATCCTAAAGCCAAAAAATCAATGCCACCTTTGCAAATCCACCTGAGGCTTCCTAGGTTCTATATGCAAGTTCTCAGTCCTATCTTGGAAAATTAACTATTATAGAATCCTTGAATTTAAGAAGTGGAAGAACTTTAATGGATACCTATGCCAAGTGAGTACATTCAGTCTTAAATCCCTTTAGGTAACATCTCCACCAAGATGTCACTGAGCCTCACTGGAACACATCT